TAAAAGAAGATTAGCTATTTATTTCTAGGCAATTGCCACATGGTGGAGAACATAATGCAATGCCTAGAATTTATTGCAGGCTACATGGGAATGTAAATAGGGGAATAAGAATTCAGAGAATGATCACTTTCGGTTGAAAGCATTAAAGAAAGCTTCTTAGGAGAAATAGAATCATGAGTCTTGACGGGAAGGAAGAGATTCAATAGGTGTAGTTAGCAGAGAGGATATCTCAGTCAAATGAAGACAGTAGGGGAGATCCCAAGGAATAATGTGAACAAAAGCAAAGAACTGGAAAGAGGCCAAGTATTTGAAGGGAGTAAAACATAGATAATAGAGGTATGTGGTAAAATTAGTAGGTACCCTGGAAAGCCAGGTTAGGCTAAAATTTAGGGAACCTGGAATCTAAATTATAGGACTTTGTACTCTGTACTGTTGAATAAAATCCAGTGACACACTGAAAGTGATTTTTCAAGGGGGACCTTGACAGAAACATATAAATGATAAGTCTGAACTGAGATAGGAGAAGTTGGAATGAAATAAACCTAAATGATAGGTTATTTTCCAAAGAAAGAACCAAAGCTATCTATGGGGTTGTGAGTTATAGGGAAGAAGTTAAAGAAGACTGCAGTTGAATTTGGATGCCTAGGAGAATGACCGTATCATTAGAGCAGCAAATCAGGAAGATTTAGTCTTCCAGGTGGAAAGTGAATACAAGTTTGGAGTTATTGTATGTGAAATGACATTAGACTCCTAAGTGAAATAGACTTTTCAATATGTGATACTGAATAAAGATGATTATTTGTATCTGTTGGAATAGGTGAGATTCCCAAAAGAGGAAATATGAAGACTGAAGAGTATAAAGTCAAAGACAGAATTTAGTTACAAAACGGAAGGTGAAACTAGAGCCAGAGAAGAACAGAGACAAACTGTCACAGGAAGACAATCACTTGTGGGGACTTTTGGAAGTGGGGAGTATGGATATCCTTGTCTTGTTCCTAGGACTTATTTGTTCCTAAACTTGGGGGGGGGGAAGTATTCCAGTCTCTCATCATTAAATATCTTAGCTGCATGTTTGTTTGTTTGTTTGAGTTGGAGTCTCACTCTGTCACCCAGACTGGAGTGCAGTGGCTGCTCTCGGCCACCGCAGCCTCGACCTGCTGGGCTCCGGCGATCCTTCCGCCTCAGCCTTCCAAGTAGTTGGAACTACAGACGCATGCCATCATACCTGGCTAATTTTTGTGGTTTATTGTAGAGAAGAGGTCTCACCAAGTTGCCCAGGCTGATCTTGAACCCCTGGGCTCAAGCAATCCTCTTGCCTCAGCCTCCCAAAGTGCTGGACTTTCATGCTGAGCCACCGTGCCCAATCAGCTGCATGTTTTCTATAGGAACCCTTTATAAGGTTGAGGAAGTATCCTTCTGTGGCTAGTTTACTAAGAGATTTTTATAAATAAATGTTTTCAAATGGTTTTTCTGCATTTATTGGTTTTATCATATTTTTTCTTTTTTTAGACATCTGATTAACTTCAAGGTCATGATATATTATCCTTTTAAAAAATGTTGCTGGGTTATATTTGCTAAGAAATAATTCTATTTCTATTTTTAAGACAATCTGTATCTAGGTTCATTTGAGATATTGGTCTGCAATTTTTTCTTTTGTAATGTCTTTAATTTTGGGATCAGGGTAATGCTGACATCAAATATATACATATATATTTACATACATACATCAAATAAATACATATATACATATATATATATATATATATATATATATATATATAAGAATGCCCTTTGTCCCCTGTTATTTTCCAGAAGAGTTTGTGAAAGATTGGGTACTACCTTTTCCTTAAATTCCTAGTGAAAGCATCTTGGACTAGAATTTTCTTTGTAAAAAGATTCTTTATTTGTGATTAGATTATAGAGCTCTTCTGAGTATTTCTGTCAATGAGTTTTGCTTGTTTGTATCTTTTAAGAACTTTGTCTCTCATTTAAATTATCCAATTTTTTGGGATCATGATGTGCATATTATTAACTTTTCATTGTTTGTAGAATCTATTGTGACATTTCTCCTTCATTTTATTTACGTCTATTTTCTATTTATCTCACCTGTTCTTTGTTTTATTTCTCTTTTTCTGCTTTCCTTCACAATCAGCATTTTTAAAAAATTCCATAAAGTGGGTATATTTTGGGATAGAAAGAAGGGAGATGGGAGCTCTCATGCATCAAAACTGAAATTCCCTTGACAAGGCGAGACATGAGTTCATAAACTGAGGGTAAAAAAATGTCATATTGTATAGAAAAGGCTTCGAATATTTGTTTTAGGAGGTCTCCTAAAAAAAAAAAAAAAAAGAGAGGCCGGGTGTAGTAGCTCATGCCTATCATCCTGGTACTTTGGGAGACTGAGGCAAGAGGATTGCCTGAGCCCAGGGGTTTGAGACCAGCCTGGGCAACTTGGCGAGACCTCACTCTACAATAAATCAAAAAATTAGCTGGGTAAGGTGGCACACACCTATAGTCTGTAGTCCCAGCTATTTGGAAGGTTGAGGCAGAAGGACTGCCTGAGCACACGAGGTCGAGGATATGGTAGACATGAGCATGCCACTGCACTCCAGCCTGGGCCACACAGTCAGATACCAACTCAATAAATAAATAGATAAATAAATGAATAAATAAATGATCTACACTAATGTATGTATTTCTAAGTATTAGTGAAGGCCCAGGTGAAGTAAACATGTAAATCATAATAATATTTGGCTAACTAAGAAATATGATGCTCAGATCTGAATATCTACCTCTATAGTAGACCCTAAAAATTGGAAAGTGTGAAAAAAAATTTTAGTGGAACTGCAGTGGTGATTAGGTTAGTTCTTGTTTTATTTTTAGTTTAAATAAGATCCTACTATATTTTCCCTCACTAAGGTAGAAGATGTTTGCTTCTTTTAGATGATCAAATTTTTTTCTGGGAGTCCAATTTTGAAATAATTGGCAGCTGTCTTTTCTAAATTTCTAAATTTTCTAAATTTCTAAATCCTTGGCTGATTACACAAGGCAGATGAGCGCTAGTGATCTTGAATATGAGCTGAATGTTTTCCCATTGTCTAATAGCTAAGTTATCTGAAAAGTCAGAAGAAGGTGGAATAGCTAGAAGAAGTTTGTATTGTTGACTGGGTATAAAATGAATGGAAAATTGGCAAGCCAGCTGGATGTTTTGTGGAACTAATGGTTTTAAAAACATATTTGGTTTTGGAAACATATTTTCTAGACTAGGATAATTATTCTTTGAACTGATTACAGTTTGTATTGTATTCTTTTTGTTTGCAAAAACTGTGATTGCTTGAATCGTGTAATGAAATATGAGTTCAGTAAAAAAAGCTCAGTTAATTGATCTAAGTCCCTCTTTGTCCACAGATGTTATTTCGTTTACATATTGAAAATCTATGTAATGAAAGATGAGAAAATTACAGTATTATAGCAGTATTTTATATAAATTGCGTTCGCAATTACAACCTGGTTCTCAGAATAAATTTTTTTGACACACCGCAACTTTAGCAGTAGTAGAGGAACATTTTGTGAGAAAAACTGATGTGGCTAGTTTCTGTAGACAGAAAAAATAAGCAAAAGTAAACGGGACCCATTGTATTCCAGCAGTGACCACTAGAGTGTAGAACAGCATAGAAGACTCGACCCTCTGGGGTGAGAGTGCCAGGGTTTGAAACCTATCCCAACAATTCATGAGCTGTATAATCCTGGACAAGTTGCTTAACCTCTTTGTGCTTCAGTGTCATCATCTATAAAATGGAAAAACAATTTTATCTCATAAATTTGATGTGAATATTAGATTCATTAATACATGTAACAGGCTTAAAGAGAGGTTGGTGCTTGGAATATATGCATAAATTGTAGTTATTGTTTCTGAGGTGAAGAAAGGTTAGTTAGACTGTGTGCATTTTCAATAAATTTGGGTTTTAACATATTAAAGAATGTCTAAATTTGGTATTCTGGGTCCCAAATGTATGCACATTTGATAATTACCTTACAAAGGTAGTAGGGATAAAAATGCCAAAAGCCATCCATGTGAATGTGACTTTTATAGACAATTTAAGGTTTTATCTTGTATGTTATATTGTCTCGGTCAAAGATAGCAATCAATTTTTCAAATACAATTTTAATGTTAGTCAAAGGAATTATAATTATGTTTCCACATGTGTATCCTAAATCAACTCTATGATTTTTAAAAATAAAATATCATTAAGTACTAAAAAAATCAACAAGGCACTAATTAAGGCAAATTCTGTGTCCTTTAGAAGTGACAAAAATTAACATCATGACCTGGATAACTCTTGGCATAGTAGGTGAATGGTAAAGGATGTAGGAAAAATACCCTGAGGTTAAAACCAAACTATAGTACAAAAAAAAAGAAAGAAAGAAGCATTGAATGACACTCGCCATGGTAGGCGATGACCCACTGTCTATCAAATACTATCTCATTTATTTTCTGTTCCAAATCTATAACATAGGTATATTCTATCCCTATTTTACAAAACTCAAGTTCTCAGAGTTTGACTTCAGCAGTTCTTTAAGGTTGCTTCAGAGTACAGCTGAGGGTCAGATTCCAGTCACTGGATTCCAAATCCCAGGGACTCTCCAGTGCACTTGTTATCTACCAGAAGTGATATGTATACCACTCAACAAGTTTAGTACAAAAATTACAACTAGTTTACAAAAACACCGCTTCCCTAGTTTTTCAATGTCTTATAGCTCAACTAGTTTTATATCTTTGCATCTTTTCCATTGCATTTAATTCTAATAAGAGTGTGCCATCAAAACTCATCCTGAAATAACCTATAAACCCCCATAGATCTCTTTGCTTTGATGAATGGTGAAGGGTGGCTCCACCAGGTGTAAGAGTGGAAAGAGTGACGTCCTTGCTGCTAACTAGTTATTTCACATTGGTGTAAGACATTTCACAGTGCCGAAGTCCCTCTTTGAATTCATACATTGAAGGAAAAGTAATCGATGATCTCAAATATTCATTCATTCCATCTCTTGATGCTCTTTTCAATGCATCAATGATATAATCAATCTACACTGACTTTTTCTGAAAGCCCAGAAGTTCAAGGACAGATCAGTTTCCTAGGAACCTGATTCCCTGTTGGAATACTACAGCCACTTGGAAACCCCCAGGGTTTATAGTGACTCTAGACACAGGATTCTGTTATAAGTGAACCCAGAATCAGTTTTTAAAGGTCATATAAATTATTTTCAGTTTGTATTTAAGACTTCTGATTTTTCTTTTCCATGTTTTCCACAGGACTATTTTACAAATGTAAATAGAGAGTTGAAAAAAGATGTCAAGCAAGATTACCACCTAGAATATGCCATGGAAAACAGTACACACACAATAATCGAATTTACCAGAGAACTGCATACTTGTGACATAAATGACAAGAGTATAACGGTAAGGAATCAATGAGTAAATGCGTTCATGAATAAAGTGTATATTTACACTTGTGAAATAATTTGCAGAATAAGAGAAAGAGAGATTTAGAATAATCTTTGACAACAAAGTCATATAGTCTTTTTTGGAACATATATATATATATACACCAAATTTTATTTTATTTTAGAGGTGAGGTACAAGCAAGGATTTACTGCATAAATAAGTTACACACAGGTGATGTTTGGGCTTCTAGCTGGCCCTCTCTTCCCCTGATAGTGGACTAGGTGCCCAGTGTGTTGCCAAGTGGCCTCCCTGACCCCCGCTCTCTCCCCTAGCAGCGTTCAGCATCTGCCAGTCTCAGCCTCATGTTTGTGTGTCCAGTGTTCAAGTCTCGCTTATGAGTCATGAGACATGTGGTCTTCAGTTTTTTGTTTCTATGATACTTCACTCTTATGGTTTCTATGATACTTCACTCTTATGGTGGTCTCCAACTGCATCCATGTTATTGTGAAAGCTATGATTTTGGCTTTATGGCTCTTAATAGTCCATCAAATGTATATTTCCACTTTTGATGGGCTGCTGAGTTGGTTACATGTTTTTGCTGTTGTGAATAGTGCTGCAATAAACATACATGTCTTTTTGGTAAAGCAATTTATGTTCTTCTGGGTATATTCCTAGAAGAGGGATTGCTGGGTCGTATGAAAGTTCTATTTTTAGTTCTTTGAGAAATCGCCATACTGTTTCCCAAAAAGGTTGAAATAGCTTACATTTTGGGGAATATTTTTGAAATCTTTTTTAGAAGCCCTCCCAAATCTAAGACTATGAATTTCAATAAAGACAATTTTGGGGTGAATTTAACATTTTGAAGAGCTCCTAAAAGCTTTTATGATTTATCTATAACACATTTTAGTTTCTTCTTTGTAAGGTTTGAAAATAGACAATACATAAAAACTTGAAGAAATGTATTACCCAAGAGTGAATTGTGTATCGGATATTAAGATATAACTCATCTGATTTGTAACTGATCCATCTTTGTAAACCTCTGAAATCAAGATGAATAGTTCACTGATTGTAATTGCCTATTGGCTTATTACACAAGAATTCTTATTTTCAGACTTCATGCAAAAATTAATCTCTTTATGCACATGCAAATTAAATATTTAGAGAATATATCATTTGTGTGATACTTTGGAAATTTCCATGAATTACTTGGATCAACTTTATTTTGCATAAACCAATACAATTTTCTTTTTTATTTGGTAAATTAAAGCTTTAAAAATAGGAATGTAAAAAATATGAAGTAGTTCTGATTAACATTCAGCATTACAAGTCAAAGGAAGAAAAAAACACATACAAAGAGATGGATCACTTTTTCTGTAACATACAGTGCAATTATACTTTAATTGGAATAATAATTATAGTCATTTGACTTATTAAGACTATAGCAAAGAGAACATTTAAAATAAATAGCTTTTGCTTTGTTAGTTATTTTCAAAGTTCTTATGACAAAGACTTGGCAAAAGCACCTTTATATGTGGGAGTACTGAACAGTTCTTTACTGCAAACCTTCTCTGCTCACAGCCCTTTGGGCACTCTGAACTGGTTGCTCAATGGAAAATAGTTTTATCTGACAGTACTTTCTCTAGTTGGGGCACCCCAGTCCCTTGGAAATTCCCAAGATTCATAAAATGACTATATATTGACTCTAGAATAATAAACAAACCCAGAATCAGAAATCCTTCTGTGTTAACACTTTCTGAAAATTCATACATGTGGCTAGGCTAGTGCCTAAGGAAAAAAGTTCATTGTGAAAAGAAAAGTCTTAAGGTCATTTACATTTTTATTGTATTTATTTATTTTTCCTGAAATTTTCCATGGTATTAAAACAAGTTTCAACTTTCCAAAGACCTTGCTACTTCATAGGAATATTTGCTTGTTCTGTAGTAGTTGCTAGCTTAAAGTTCTGACAAGACAATGATTGTTTTTATTATTGAAACAATAAACAATAATGTTTTATATTTATAAAAACAATAAAAGCTTAATTACTAAGTCAATTGTCCTTCATTCTGTTTTGGAATGCTTAATCTTGTGTGTAGAGAGAAACGATTCCTTCCAAAAAGTAACTCATCTATTGAATTTCCTGAATAATCAAATTTACACAGTTAATGTTAGAGACCATGTTGAGAACTTCAGATGTCATTATTCTCCTTTGTTTGCTTCTATATCTTGCTGAAAATAGAGTTTTTAAAACTCAACTCCATCGTGAGAAAAGTGTTCTCATGAGACATAATCATGCCCATGTCTGATCACCAGGATAGCACTGTGAGAGTGATCTGGGCCTACCATCATGAAGATGTGGAAGAAGCGGGTCCCAAGTACCACGACTCCAACCGGGGCACCAAGAGTCTGCGATTGTTGAATCCTGAAAAGGCCAATGTGCTGTCTGTAGACTTGCCATCCTTTGACCTGGTAAATCAAGACGTAAGTGTTTTTACGTTTCATGGTTAGAGGGGTGGGCTTATTGACAGTGTATAAGAGAGTTTTTGCTTACATTGTTGTACTTCATAGCATGTCAGGAGAATATGATTTTGTGTCTTCCTTCCCTTTTTATTAAGACAGGTTCCAATCCCAAACAAAGATACAACATATTGGTGCCAAATGTTTAAGATTCCTGTGTTCCAAGAAAAGCATCATGTGATAAAGGTATGTGATTCACTCATAGGCTAAAACTAATTTGGATCAGTGAAGGAAGAAATGGATGTCCTTAATACAAAAACAGTAAAAAAAAAAAAGTAGAAATGATTTTTCATTCCATAAAAGTTATTTAGAGAAAGAAAGAATTGGCTTGACTGACCCATACAGTTTTACATCTGAAAGCTTGGATTATACCTAGTATTTTGGTCATCCCTTAGTTATACCTGCCAAAGGTAAGAAAGTACCGATATGCATTTGAACACTGCTAGCTATTATTTTGCGCAGCATATCTACAATTTGAATTTCAGAAATTGCAATTCAAAATACTATATTTACATATTGATAAATTGTATCCAGAAAGGTTATTACATTTTCCACCAATGATGTTTGACGATATCTGCTTTATTGAAAATACTGAATAATGTTATAAGGATCATTTTTTAAAAAATAAAAATTAGTGAATTTCTAAAGAATTTTAAAAATACAGAATTGGGTAATAAATAAACCCACTTAACCTGTGGCATACAATTCCTTTCCACCCCGTTGGGATGAGCCTTCCAAAAGGTTTGCATGTAGTTAGTAAATGAACAGTTTCTTTAAAAAAAAAAATTGTAAGCCTTGGCTCTGTGGTGGTCATTGTTGGCAGTTCCACAGAGGTTGAAGGTGTGATCTGTGCTGTCAAAGAACTTACAGTGAGACTGGGAGAGACATGGCCAAGACACAAGAAAGAATAAGCTAGAATTAAATGGTGCATATGGAATACTACACACATTCAGAAGACCAGATAGTACTGCCTTTCTGTCAGCCTCCAGACTACATTATAAAGCAGTGTAGCTAGGAACAAACTTCTAAACTCTGGAACCTGGAAGGAAATACGTGGGTTTGAATAGCAGATCCACCCTTTAATTAACTGTGTACTCTCAGGTAAGTCACTCTGGGGTAAAACTGTAACCCTATGTTTCCTCATCTGTAAAAAATGGACACTTTCCCTACCAACCTCAAAGCCTTTTAGCAGAGATGGAAACACTGAGCACATTCTACAAACTGACTTAAATTTGTTAATTTCAAGAGTATTTGTCCAATTGCACAGATCTGCCTTTTGTTTACAGAATGATTCATAACTACATAGGCTAAAGGGGCAGTTTAGAGGAATGTTACTGAGTTAGTACGGAGTCCCAAATATTTGTAGGATATTTTTGCAAATAGGAGACTTACCAACAGTGACTGCATTTACTGCATTTCTACTTTGTGAATGTGAAAGAGGGATGCCAATTCTAGTCCTAGATACTTAATAAAGTACATAAGTCCTTCCTTTATGCCAATGACAAGTCTTTTTAGAAAAGAGACTGTTATATTTACACATACTCTGTGTCGTATATTGCTGTGTGTCAGTTGCAGTAAAGTTAATCAGAACCTGACTTAAGAGGCAAAAGTCAGACTGTAGACTCAGAAATGAAAATACATTTTTCATAAAATAGATCCTTTATTTATTTTTTTAGCAAACATTAATTGATAGGATATGCATTCCTTACCATTAATACAGTTTTGTTTTCATCATTATTAGTGCTAATAATTGAGTTGAATGAAATAATAATTTTCTACATTTAAACTAGGTCAGGATATGTTCCAACCCACTATATAGGATATGTGCTTGGTAATTCCCTTAATATTCTTAGCTGACTTTCCTTTAATAAACATAATAATACTCAAATAAGTGGGCTTAGAATGAAGTACTTTGGGGAGCACATTACTGTCTTCACTAGACATTTGCATCAAGAGGGAGCTTACTGACATGAAGAGCTTGGGAGCATTTTTGCAATGCTTGGAGGTCTATCAGACAGTATAAGTTCTTTATCTTGGGCAAGAGGGGATTTGAGGGGGAGACAGCATGTCAGAGAAGTGTTCATGCAGATTTTTGTTGTTGCAGGGACAGAGGTGTGGTGGCTAGAATTTAAAATTCTGTTATTACACAAGATTACTGCCTACAGGACATTTTCCCGATCTTGTTAAACTGTAAAATATCTTAAAATTCATTAAATATTGTGAAACATTTTTCTTGTAAATAAACTCAAATAGGATACAAAAAAAAAAAGAAAGTTCTACTGTAAAAATAATTTTAAAATATTTAGGTCATTTAAGTGGTTTTAAAGCAGTCTTTTTGTTGTTGTTTTTGTTTTTTGAGTCAGGATCTCACTCTGTCACCCAGGCTGGAGTGCAGTGGCATGATCACAGCTCACCACAGCTACAACTTCCTGGGCTCAGGTGATCCTTCTGTCTTGGCTTTCCAAGTAGCTGGAACCACAAGCATGTGCCATCATTCCCAGCTAAGTTTTTTATTTATTGTAGAGATGAGATCTCACCAAGTTGCGTTGCCCAGGCTGGTTTCGAACCCATGGGCTCAGGCAATCCTCTTGCCTCCACCTCCCAAAGTGCTGGGATTACAGGCATGAGCCACCATGCCTGGCTATCAGTTGATTCTTTCATCTCAGTCTCCCTAGCAGCTGGAACTACAGGCACGTGCCACCATGGCCTGCTATTTTATTTTATTTTTTTTAGAGATGAGGTCTTGCTATGCTGCCCAGGCTGGCCTTGAATTCCTGGACTCAAACAATCCTCTCTCATCGGCTTCCCAAAATGCTGGAATTACAGGTGTGAGCCACCATGCCTGGCTTAAGGCAACCTTTCAAAAGCAGTTTTAACTTGCACCTTGTGCCAGATTTTAATAAAATTTTAATGAAGTAGAATTAATAGGTCTAGGACTTACCTTAAGAAACTATCTAACTTCCATTCTCTTTTTCATAGTAGAGACGATTTCTAATAATTTAAGAAAATTATTTTGGAAAAGCCATCAGTTAAGAGCTTATCCTTATCCTTATTTTATGTTTCACAATTTACTGTATCAAAAGCTTCAGTTTTTCTCTAATACAAACAAAAATACTTTCACAGAAAAGAGAACATTGCTTTCCTATTGTATTATGTGGTATGTCATTTGCAGTGAGTTTTAAGAATACTCATTACAATAGTATTGTGAGAAATCAGTTTCATTGTATGAACTCTTCATTTAATTTGTGCCCCAAAGCACAAAGACGGTGATGCTGGCCATTTGGATTGCCAAAGGTAAACCATCAAATGCTTTTTTTTAAGTGAAAAGGACGAAGTTCTCAACTTAAAAACATTGTATGCTGAGGCTGCTAAGAGCTACAGTAAGAACAAATCTTTTTATCCATGAAATTGTGAAGAAGGAAAAAGAAGTATGTGCTAGCCTTGCTGTCACACCTCAAAATTGCAAAAGTTATGGTCACAGTGTGTGATAAGTGCTTAGTTACGATGGGAAAGACATTAAAATTGTGGGTGGAAGACATGAGCAGAAACATGTTTTAACTCACAACAACGTGCTGCACCAGAAAGGGCTGAGCCTGTACAAAGACTTTGGCAAGGGATTCCCTGAAGCAACTGACACTGAGCCATTCGCAAGCAAGGGATGGTTGCACAGACTGGAATACAGGCCAATAGTAGCCTAACGTTTCATTGCAATGCCTATGTTATTCATGTCACTCCATCTCTTGACGTGGACGATGTATCATTGAACATTAACCCAAGAAGGGTGAGTACAGCACAATAAGATATTTTGAGAGACCACATTCACCTAACTTTAATTACAGTCATTGTAATAATTGTTTTAGGTTATCGTTAGTTATTATTATTAATCTCTTACTAAGTCTAATTTCTACATTAAACTTTATCATAGGTATGCATGTGTAAAAAGAAACAAAGTATATACAGGGTTTGCAGTTTCAAGCATCCACTCCACTAGAGGTTTTGGAATGTAACCCCTTGGATAAGGGAGGACTACTGTATACATTTTATAGTTATAATCACTATAAGGCTAAGAAAATAAAATGTATCAGTAGTTTCATGAGAATGACGAAATTAAAAAAATTAATTGCATTTTAAATTAAATTTTAATCATGTAAAAATTATTTGCTTCTAAAATTATGAGATAAGGTAAATAGTGTCTGAAATTATTAGACATATAAAATATACTTGAACGATTTCATCTGTAAAAAAATTGGGATCATAATAAAATTATTGGTTGTTCCTGTTCACATGTGATTCCAATTTATTAATTTGTATTTTGATTCTTTAAAAAAATGCCTAAAATTGTGACTTGAAAATGTGTGTTTTGTTAGATGACAGCATGTCACACTTGCAGGTGGATATGGAAATTGTAGAAAAAGAATATTTTTGGTGACTGATATTAAAACTTGACCAGGCATGGTGGCTAGCCTGTAATCCCAGCACTTTGGGAGGCTGAGGTGAGAGGATTGCCTGAGCCCACGGACCCGAGAACGGCCTGGGCAACTTGGGACCTCATCTCTACAGTAAAAATAAAAAAATTAGCCAGGCATGGTAGCACACACCTGTAGTACCGCTACTTGGAAGGCTGAGGTGAAAGAATCACCTGAGCCCAGCAGGTCGACACTAGGGTGGCCGTGAGCGTGCCACTGCACCACTCCAGCCTGGGCAACAGAGTGAAACTTCAACTAAAAAAAAAACAAACAAACAAACCACACTTCTCATCTGAGATTATCTCTGTGTCAAACACTAGAGACCCATTCTCCAGCCCATCTCTCCATAATTCAGTATAACTTTCTTTAAGCTTTACCATAGATGTAACTTTACTCTAAATGTAAAAATTTTAAGAGACAATTCTACCACACTCCTTAGTCAATAGTAATGTCATTGTCAAGACTAGTAAGTCATGCTTGGATATCTGGTAGAAACTGGGGTTATAATTGGTTTAACACACTGCTTTGTTTGAGGGGCTTTTATTATCAAGGATTTCTCCTCATAAACCAACTACTCCTAATTCATCTGTTTAAATGTGGTGTGTCTTATTCCATTCGATAAATACCTGTTAATGGCCTACTATGTTAAAGAAAAGAGGAAAACAAAAAAACAGCCACCCAAAATCATTCTTCCTTAGTCCTCTCTTTAAAGGGCTAGCT